TTGTTGTTGTTGTTGTTGTTGTTGTTGCTGATGCTGTTGTTCGTGCTGCTGATGCTGCTGAGAGTGATAATAGTTTTGCTGCTGTTGCTGATGATAATGTTGCTGTTGTTGCTGTAGTTGCTGGTGTTGCTGTTGGCGATACATATTTTGAAGATTGGACGTGTGGCCTGTTTGGTGTGAATGTGAAAAATGATGATGTTTCTGGTGTGTAGCCGGAAGTAGGGGTTCTGGTTGCGGCGGCGGAGTCGAAGGTGCCGTATGCGAGTTCATGTCACCAACTGCCGGTTGATAGGGCTCCAGATGCTGAATGTTCTGTTTCTGTATGCAAAGTTGACTGTCTGGAGGCACGAGTAGATGGTCGAGGGGGGCGCGCAGGTTTGTCGTAGTCAGGAGGCCTTGAGTCTGGTGTTTGTTGGCAAGTTTGGAGAGCGAGTTGACGCTGTGCGTATTCTCCTCGGAAGCCGGTTTGCAGGTGAATGTGTGCTCTTGCCTGACGGTATGGCTGGGTGTGGCACGAGACGCCGAAAAGGCGCGCTGTGATCGCTCTGCCGCAGACTCAGAGACGTCGGTATGGGCAGTCTCGCCGAACGGCATGAAGCGTGTCTCGCTGGGCGACATTTTGAGCTTATTTTCGGGGGTTCTGCTGAGTCTGGCCTGTAGAAGAGCGTTTGTTTCGCTGATTTGTCGCATGTCTGAAGGCTGAGCTTCGGTTTCACTGCCTGGAACATAGCGAGCCTCTTGTGAGTCGGTCATTTTGAAGAGGGCGATGGAGTTGGGTGAGTCCATAACGTATGGACCCTCTTCTCTACGCTCGCGATCGGCCAGTTCGCGTCGATTCAGGTGCAGTCCAGTCATGAGAGCAGCCGAGGTCTCTTTTATGCCGTCGATTAGGCCCAGAGTATTGGCAAACATGCTCAGCTCGAAGCGAATCTCGTTGAGTTGCGGCAGCTCAAGGAGGAATTCGGCCGCCTCTCCACTGGCTCCGGTGGTACCGAGGTCATCGGCGAATGGGGCATAGCAACTGGGCGAATTGGCAATTGGTGAACCGATGAGGCCGCTGGGCTCGTCGGGCAACGAGAGGCTGTTTCGGCCGTTTGGCAAATTGGCCCCGTTTGAGTTGGTCAACGAGGTCAAGTAGATTGGGTCAATGGTGGTGAGCCAGACGGGCCAAAGGGTGGTACGTGTGTCGACGACGGCCGGTGAGGTAAGGAAGTCGCCGAGAAGATCGGTGTCGTGAAGTACCATCGAGAGGAGTCGCAGGAGGCGATGTGCTTGTTTCACCAAATTGCGATTGCGCACTCGAGCCAACCAGAAAAGAAGACAGAGAATCGAAGCGTCCCGGTCGGAGCGCAGATGATGCAGAGCGGTGTCACGTTCGACTCCCGTCAGACGAGCCACATCGTCGAGGCTGAAGCGCATCATCTGACCGACCGGGGCGACGCGACAGTTCTGGTTGCCGAGCCGTGCTGTACCGGCCGAGCCGGGCTCCTGAGAGTGACCGGATGGCCGAGGACCCCGCGGCATCATGTCGTGTCGGAAGAAGCCGGCCAGCACGACCATCTCGAGCAGACCGACCAGCCGATTGCCACAATTCGTGTGCGTTCGGATGATGCCCCGCTTGGAGATGCGCCGAAAGACGGAGCACCAGACCTGACGACTGGAGGCTGTCTCTTCACCGTACACTTCGTAGGCGCAGAGGTCGTAGCAGACCGGCCCGTCGGACTTGGCAACAGCGGCCAGGCCGGACGAGTTGGACATCATCGACCGGTAACTGATGGCCTGTACCACACCGAGGATGTCGAGGCCAGGTCGCGTGTTGAGCAGTCGGATGGAGTAGTCCAGGATGTCTGTGAATCGATGATTCGTCTGCAGCGGAGTGCCCAGGAAGCTGGAAATGATGAACGGCGTCTGAGGGTTGTAGTTGGCCGTCATGAGGAGTGTGAGGCCGGCGAAGAACTCGCGTCGCACCGCCACGACGGAAGCGAACGTCGTCGAATAGTCGTCCAGATAGAAGGGACCACCGGACTTTGGCTTGACGCGTCGCACGTAGCAGACGGCGTTGACGTCGACGTGTTGCCGGCTCTTCTGGCAGAGCCGGGTGCCGGTAGTATCCAAGAGCAGTTTGATGACCGACTTGAGCCGAAAGTAGACGGCTATCACCAACGGGGTGAGGTAGAGGATGGCTTTCATGTGGTAGGCGGGCGGATCGACGCCGATCCTCGGCTCCGAGTAGAGCTGCGGCTGGTCGTAGATCTCGAAGTAGGCCGACAGAATCTCCGGTTTCGCGTTCACCAAATTGATGAGATAGTGCAGCCCGTTTCGACAGCGCATCTGGTTGATCAACCATCGCGTCACCTCGTGATCCTGCGAATAATAGCAGGGCATGCTGTCCGAGTCGCCGGCCTCTGAGCAGGCCTGCTCTTCATCGAAGCTCGACTGGCCTCGAGTCTCGTGTTTCAAGCCCGACTTCTGCTCGTCGACTAGCTTGTCTGCACCCGAGATCATGATCGAGTGGCTGCGGCGCGAAAACCGGCAATCGCAAACCTTGGGAAAACCGGCGACTGTGCGACGGCGGACGAGTCAGACTTCCCGGTCAGGCAGGCGGATGCATTGTGTCCATTGCGGCGATCGATGTGGGTGGATGATTTGAATGGCCACTTGAATCGGAGGCTGCGGACAAACAATCGTGCAATAATGGTTTTGCCTTAAACTAGTTTCGGCGCCATCTTACTTTTCATGCATAAGTAGGGCTTCGAGAATGTTTGGAAAGCGAGACATCAGCTCTACTCTTTTCAATGTGGGAAAATGCGAATAGCACTACTTCATTAGCTTAACCGAGCTAGAGTGAATACATATCATGTAACTGATCGACTGGTAGCCTAGAGACGCTACTTATAAACGAAAAATAATTAATGTGTTATGCGAAAAGGCCTGACCTTTGTTGAAATTCACATCGGCCCCTTTGGCCTAAAGGCCCTAGAGGCGATTTGGCGTAGTCGTTCGCATGTCGAGATAACACACTACACTGGCATGGTTCGAGTCCAGCTGAGGTCGAAATGGCAATCATTCAATGAAAAAATCAGCTTTACTCATGTCATGAGATGTATTCACCCTATTTCGTGTAAGGGGATGAAGGACTGGTAGTAAAATTTTCCCACAATGATATGAGTTGAGCTGACTTTTCCATTGAATTTCACATAGCCTTGCTTTTTCAAAAGTCGTTTACATCCCGGT